TCTCTGCCTCTTACCCTATCCTCCCCTTCTCTTCTTCTGACCCACCCATGAGGCCTCTGTGCCAAGCTCCCTGCCTCCTCCTGCCTCCCTCTGACTCCTTGCATGACTCACACTTTCCCTGGCCCTCTCCGTAAAGTTTAGTTCCACAGGCTGCTTTCTGCCCTGGAGACCCAGCCTCTTCAGTTCTGGGCAGGCAAGAACCGGAGGCCAGGCTGCAGGTCCTAGGGCCTCTGCCCTCCCCCAGGAGCTCCTGTGTCCAGGCCAGGACATCACCCGGAGCTGCGACAGTTTGAAAGAGGAAAGTGGCACCTCCTTGTGTTTTAGCTGAGGAAACCGAGGCCAGAAAGATGCCATAAGTTATCTAAGGACCCAGAAGGCACTCCTGGCCGAGCTGGGAACGTGCCCCACGTGGTCCCTGAGCTCAGCTTCTCTGGATGCCAGTAATCAGCTGACCACTCAGCTCTCAGCCATCAGACCCTTAGGATAAGGACAAGATAGGCACCCACATCTGGGAGTGGACCAGGGACCACACTGACCAGTGCCCAGCAAGGCTGAGCCAGGAGTGTCGCCAGGGGACAGGGCATGGGCTGAGAATACCCTACCTCCTGCACCCTGTGAGATCCTGGAACCCTGAGGCGGAGCGGCAGGGAGATGCCACAGGTGTCAAAGCCAGTGGCACCCCAAAACTCGCGGGGCTGTTCTCACAGCGCCCATCTCCTGTTCTGCAAAAGCTCCTCTCACCCTGGGCAGGGAAGTTGGGTCCGCAGCTGCTTGAGCGCCGTCAGAGCACAGAGATGTGCCCACCACCCAGCCAGGGCACTTGGCAGAGACACCGCTGCCCCTGCCAAGCAGTCCCAGTAGCCCGCCTGCCTGGGGGGTGGGGGGAGGGTGTCCAGCAGGCTGAAGGGGGCTCCCAGGGTACCCCATCTGGCCTGCGACCCACTCACCCCACCCGCTGACTTCTCCCCGTGCTCTGCCCCAGTGCCCAGGCTCTGTGAACCTTACCTCGGGAAGCAGCCAGGAAGAGAGCGAGGAGCACAGGCCCCCAGCGCCGGCCGCAGGCCTCCGGGACTGGGGGGAAGCCCATGTCACCCTCGGTGGGGCCGGGTGGAGCGGCTGGGACGGCTGGGCTGAGCGGCGCCTGGGGCGAACTCTTGGTTTGCAGGGCAGACACCCTCCCGGCGAGTGAGTGAAGTGAGTGCCTGGAGTAGCAAGTGAAAGCAGCCAGCGCCTGAGAGCCGCCTGTTCCGCCCCCTCGCCCCACGCAGCGCCCCCAGGAGGCCATGGGAGGCACTGCTGCTAGTGCCCCGTGGGCGGGGCTTCGCGCTGACTTGCACCATAGGAGAGCCAGCCAGTCAGCTCCCCCTGATCCGTTCTAAGCCTGTGTACTCGCCCCCATTCCTCTTTGGAGAGATTGCATTGTTGCACCGGCTGAGAAGTGTATCTGTGTGTAACTTAGCATGATACTTAAGCATGATGGATTGTCTGCCCTTACACACCAGCCTTTGCATTGCCTGGGGGCAGGGGCTTGTACCGTACCTCCTACAACCCAGCCTGAGGCCTGGTTTGTAGTAGGCACTCCTAGTTGAGGAATGAATGGAGAAAAAAAAACAAAATCTAACTTTGGTGTAGACTTGACTATAGATTCCAGAGCTTGCGCCCTTGTGCACATGCACACTGAACATAGGTGTGGCACAGGCACAGGAACACAACAGGCTCGGCACATCCCTGCACTAGACACAGGTAGTGTGTGCACAATATCTGGTCTTGTGTCCCATAGAAAATCTCCAGTGCCCTCTCCCCCCAGACCCCAACTTCCCTTCCCACTTCGCACCATCCCACTCCTATGCCTGGGCGTCCTCGGGGCACGGGCACACCCCCACTGCTAATGCCTGCTCTCGCACCCCACTCAGCACACCGGCACCACTGGCCATGTCTCTCTCCTCTCCTCCAAATTCTTCTCGTCCCTCGGGGTTTGGCTCAAGTCCTTCCCCTTCACAAAGTGCTCTGACCTTCTCCTGAGGGTCCCCCTCCAGTCCTTGTAGCCACACCCCCTCAGCCATCACACCCGGCCTGGGTCACCAACCAGTTGATTTCATCGGGGCTCATCTGCCCTCCGAGCTAGACCATGAGCTGTTGGAGCTGAGGGCCTCTCCTTGATGTTCCTGAGTCCCTGGCACAAAACTGGGCACGGAGAAGGGGTTTAAAGTGACGAATAAGTGAGTGAGTGAGTTTCTAAGTGGAGAGTGGTGGTGGCGGTGGCTAGGGCCAGGGATTGAAAGAGCGGGAGGGCACAGCCATTTACCAGTGTACCCAGCCTGGCTGAAGCTCCCAGGAGTGCTGCTGGCTCAGTGGGGACCTCGAGCTCCTAGGCAACTCCCGGGCTGAGGGACAGAGCCCACCTGGGTCGGGAACCATGGTAGTGGGACTCAAGAGTAGCTGGGAATTCTGGGCGCCCTGATCCGAGTCAGAGGCTCTCTGAGAGCTTAGACCTCGCTCCCGGGGCAGGAAAGGCTACAACAGAGGAAGCTGGGAGTCGTGCTATTACTAGGTGACCTGTGCAGGCCCAGTCCCCCTGGAGTCGGAGAATCTCCCTGGGATGGAAGGCCCAGAGATTGCCAGCACACAAGCAGGTCCTTGATCATGAACCTGATCTTATGACCCCACTCCAGGAGACAGCCAGGGCCCTTCCTGCTGGCAGAAGGTGAGCTCTTCCACCCAGGAAGGTACCAAGCCCATTGAAATCAGGTGGGTCCTGAGCCCTCTTCCCACCCTGGCCATCCTCTGGCAGAGGTGGGGTCCTTCAAGGGTGAGACCCTGGAGCACCTGCCCCCAACCCCTCCATTTCTTCCTGGCCTGGCCTTGCTCAAACCACCCTTGAATGCAGACTCCCTCTGCCTCAGGGCCTAGGAGGTGGGTGAGGGGAGCCTGGAACTATGGGGAGGGGGGCAATGCCCTCCCAAGCCCCCCTACCCCTCCCCAGAGGGCTAGAACACCTGAGTGTAGCTACCCATGATGCTCTCCTCCACTTCCTTCCTCCACACTCTTCCACCAGCTGAGCTTCCTGGTTTGCAGCGGGGTGAGACACAGGGCATTGCCCAACGTGTGGGCATGGTCCAGAATCCTGAAGCACTGTTTTCTCAAGGCAGGAAGGGCTGAGCTGAAAGGGCCTTCGGGGCATTAACTTCCTCCTCGTGAGACTAGAGGGAGTCAGACCCCCTCCCCTCCCAAGCTCAGGCTGATCTCAGGGAGAAGAGGCTGGTGGGGCAGCCCCGTTAGACGCGCCACTCCCGGGCCCTGAAGATTGTTAGGCTCGCTTCCCGGAGTCTGGGAAAGTGGGGAACCATGGCTGAGGCTGGGATCCGGCCCTTCCTGCAAGGTGGCACTGTTGTGCTGACAGAATGGTTTGTATTAGTCAGGGTCATGGTAGTAAAGAGAAGAGCCACTCAGGGCTCAACTGAAGGTGGTTTAATAGAAGGCCTGTTACAGAGCGGGTGATGCCCCTCAGACCAGCAGCTGCCGGAAGCCCTTACCTCTCACAGAGCCACAGGGCAAGAGGAGGTGAGGTGACTGGAGCCCAGTGAGAGCTGGAGCTGTGAAGGGGGCCACCCCAGAGGAGAAAACTAGTTCCGCCCCACTGGTGGAACTAGAGCGAGGAAAGGAAGGAGTGGGGGAGAAACCCCCACCTCTCTCTCCTCCCTCCCCACATCTTCTGCCAGGACCTCCCATCGGCCCAACCCATCTGGAAGCAGATGGCAAGGGAGCCCCGGTGAGGCAGTCCACAGGGCCACCCTCCCAGGTGGAGAAGCAGAATGGAGAGGGGACGGGGTGAGGAGCAGAGATGCCAGCACGTGGCTAACCTCTGTCTCCATGTACCTTCTCTGCCCGTGGGGTGCCGCATCAACCATTGCTCCGTGGTGCGGGGCGCCGAGTTCCAGGTGTCTACATAGTACAGGTGGTCCAAGCATCGGCCAACAACGGCCAGTCGCAGGAGAGCATGCGGCAGAAACTGTTCTTGCAGCGAAGCGTGTTCTGGGAGCTTTGTTTCTCACAGCTCAACAAATTCTGCCCGTGCCCAGTGTCATCCTCCTCCAAAATGCTGCAGGTCGGCATTTCTTGCATTTACAGGAGCATGCGTGACGCCTCCTTGCCTTTTGTACTCCAGGTGGAGGTTCGGGGTCAGTAAAGCCCTGGCCCGGGAAAAGCTATGGGCTCGGGGTGGTTACTGGGGTTCATCTTAGATGCCAATGTTATTTTAAAAAAATGTTTCTTTATTGACAGAGAGAGACAGATGAATGAGAAAGAAACATCCATTGGCTGCCTCCTGCATGCCCCCTATTGGGGATTGAGCCCACAACCCGGGCATGTGCCCTCACCAGGAATTGAACAGGCAACCTCTTAGTACAGCGGTTCTCAACCTGTGGGTTGCAACCCCTTTGGAGGTCGAACGACCCTTTCACAGGGGTCGCCTAAGACCGTCGGAAAACACATATATAATTACATATTGTTTTGTGATTAATCACTATGCTTTAATTATGTTCAGTTTGTAACAATGAAATTGGGGGTCACCACAACATGAGGAACTGTATTAAAGGGTCGCGGCATTAGGAAGGTTGAGAACCACTGTCTTAGTACATGGGATGATGCTCAACCAACTGAGCCACAAGGGCCAGGCCTCTTATATGCCAGTTTTAATCACTAGGTCTGAACTGACAAGGATCCTGAGGTTACATCTGGTCTAATCAGTGCCATGATTGATTAGTAATGTCTGCAATGGACGTGGACAGAGAGGTAGTGGTGCAATTAGCATCTTGTACCTAAGCAGTTACCTAGATGGCTTTCGTGTGAGTGCCTTCGCTCCCAGCCTGTGCCTGCCCTCCCTCTCATCCTTCTCCCTCTCCCTGAGTGAGCGCAGCCTGGAGGAACGTGCAGCTGGAGGAACGTCCACCTCAGCCTCTCTAGTCCGCTGACCAAGGAACCTTCCACGTCCTTCTCCGCAGGCCACCACTCACGTGTATGTGACCATCGTGGACGAGAACGATAACGCACCTGTGTTTCAGCAGCCCCACTACGAGATCTTGCTGGATGAGGGGCCGGACACGATCAATGCCAGCCTTGTCACCATCCAGGCGCTAGACCTGGACGAAGGGCCCAATGGCACAGTGACCTACGCCATCATTGCAGGCAACATCATCGATACTTTCCATATTGACAGACACACGGTCAGCAGCTGATGGCGGGGTCTAAGGAGAGGGTCACCTGGCTAAAGGGATTGGAGGGGAGCTCAGTGACATCATGGGGTGGGGGCCCAGCAAAGATGGAGTCTGGGAGGGAAACTGGGGTGTGTGGGGCAGCCATTGTGGGAAAATGGAAATCCTGGGCTGGGTGGCAACAAGGGTTTCCCATCATGGCCAGGATGCTACCCTGCTGGGGTAGTCACAGAGTACCCCATGAAGGAGCTGGTCCCCAGGGTGGCCCAGACTCACTACCCATCGCTCCACCCTCGTTCCCCCTATGTATCCCCCAGGGTGTCATCCGTGCTGCCAAGGAGCTGGACTATGAGATCTGCCATGGCCGCTACACCCTGATCGTCACAGCCACAGACCAGTGCCCCATCTTGTCCCGCCGCCTCACCTCCACCACCACGGTAAGACACAGCCCCAACTTGGGGGTGAGGGGAATTGGAGCCCAGAAAGCTCAGATGGGAACAGGGCTAGGGAAAG